AATCCCCTTGGTTGGGGGGTCTGTAGTAGACCCCCACCATTAGATCCCTCTCCCCACAGCCCCCTTGTATCTTAACCCAAAGCACTTCAGTTTGCCCCTCCTCTGACCCCATTCTGCTGGCAGAGGATGTGTATTGCTCCTTGACATAGAGTGCCACACCCCCACCTTTCCTTCCTTCTCTATCCCACCTGTAAAGCCTTTAGCTCCTAATGCTAAGTGCCCAGTCATGGGATGAATCCCACCATGTTTCTGTAAGCCCTATTATGCCTGGGTCTGAACTGGCTATTCTGAGGGTGAGTTCCTCCTGTTTGTTCTCCATGCTATGAGCATTGGTATATAGGCATTTAAGGCCTTGCCTATCTGCGTGTGCCACCCCCCAATTTGGGAGACTGTCTGGACCCCTGTTTCTTACCTGGGCACTCCTGGCATTTGTCACCTGTCTTGCTCAGGTGGTGTCATCTCTTCTTCCATTCTCCCCTGAACTGTGGGGGGTCTCAATCTCCCCTCCTCCCCCAAACACAGTATGATAAAAAAGATTAGAAGAAATTTACCTGCCTGCATGTGGCTGGGATAGCTGTGGTGCTGGCTGTGAGTGCAGGGTAGCTGAGTGTGCCCACCCCTCCTCCCCACTGCAGAAGTCCACGCACAGCCTAAGGCTGCTCCTGCTGCTGCCCTCCATTTGAGGGGGCTAAACCCTGTTATCCCCCACCTTCTTCTACCAGCTGGAGCCAGAAGCACTCATTGGCATGTGGCAGGGCCTGTACAGCTCTGTCCACAGGGTCCCCCAAAACGTGAGGCCTGGGGCAGTTGCCCCGATTTGTTCCCCCAGGGACAGCCCCAAGCTTGTCTATGGGCAGCCTAAAAGTAAAGCAAGACTGTGAACTTCAGAGCTAGACAGAGAAGTAATATAGTTCTTGCCCACCCCAGCCAGGCTACCTTTTAGGACACTTACCCCTCCAGGCCCTTTTTCTTGCCCATCCCATTCAATTTGCCCTTTGAGGGACCTACCTATCTAAGCTATCC